GAGGCCAGCCTGGTCTCCAGAGCGAGTGCCAGGACAGGTTCCAAAGCTGCACAGAGAAACCCTGTCTCGAAAAACAAAACAAAACAAAAAAAGTGAGTTAGTCATGCCTGCCTGTTATCTCAGTACTTGAGAGGCTGAAGCAGACAGATTACATGTAACAGGCCAGAGAGAGAGAGAGAGAGAGAGAGAGAGAGAGAGAGAGAGAATAGATTAATACCCTGTGTGAAAACAAAAACAAAAGAAAGACCAAGGGGGAAAATGGGAAAAGGCATGGGTGCACACGCCCACAGTGGAAACCTAAAATCATAGACCAACTGAGCCCTAAGCCTGCTATGGGTTTGCCTATGCATGGATACCAGTGAAAAAGTCTAGCTTTTTCTTGAACATAGACTGTGACACTGTGACAGTTTGGTACAGAGATGGCTGTTAAGTGAGCCTGAGGTGACGACACTTCCCAGAAGACACTGAGATAGCTGCAGATGTGAAGTGACATTGTCCTTGAGGACATCACTGTCACAATACCATGGCTTTTTGGGCACCTTTCCAGCTCTTTTGATGAATTCTGGTCACTCTGTGAGAGACAACACCTCAGGAAAAAAGTCTAGACTAACCAATCGTTCCTCACTCACTTGGCATCTGCTCTTCACCTTCCACCCAACAGTTGGAAACGTGTTTCCCACATCACCCCACTGATGTGTCCAGGTCCCAGAGAGGCTATAAGACACTGTCCTTGTGTCTTACCGTTTCTTTTTAAATATTCTTATCATTTTATGTGTATATGTGCATGCCTGCACCAGTTCTGTGCACTATGTGTGTGTAGGACCTGGAGGCCAGAAGTGGGTGTGGGGTCCCTTGGAACTGGAGTTACAGATGGCTGTGAGCTGCTCTGTAGGGGCTGGGAACCAAACTCAGATGCTCTGCAAGAGCAGCGAGTGCTCTCATGCTTTTTAACTGCTGAGTCATCTCTCCAGCCCCTCATCACCATTTCTTAAGTTGTGACAAGTATTTGATAGCCAAGGGATTTGGCCTCCTTTGATCTCTGGCTGTGTTGGAGAAAGTTGATTTTTAATGGCATTGAATTTTGCTACAATGTTTTCAAAAGTGGTATCCAGATCCTCAGTGTGTGTGGGTGTGTGTGGGTGTGGGTGATTTCTAAACAAGGTGCTATAGCTATATTGTGAGATCACTGAATATCTACCACTTGACCATCAGTGCACACGAGCCACTAAAGTCAAAGGCTCTGTTTCATTTATTTTTATTTAAGTGTAGAGATGATTTGCCCACATGTATGTCTGTGTGCCACTTGTGTGCTTGGTGCCCATGGAGGCCAGAAGAGGACATCAGAGCCACCTGGAACTGGAGTTCCAGATGGTTGTGAGATGATATGTAGGTGCTGGGAATTAAAGCCAGGTTCTTTGGATAAGCTGAGCCATCTCTCCAGCCCAAGGCCCTGTTTTATTGTGTCCGTAGTGCCTAGGTAGAACATAGTAGTCATTCCCTAGTGCAGCAACATCAGCATCCCTTGAGGTATGGTGGAAAAGCAGATATTCAGCATTATGGTCCGTGACAGGCACAGTTTCTGCCAAGCTCTCTTATAGCCATGGAACAAGCTGTTTTGCCATGCTTTCCTGACACTGTGCTGAAAGCTCTGAAACTGTGAACTAAAATGAATCTTTCTCACTTCAAAACAATCTTTCCAGGTGATGGTGCTGACAGTCTGAGAAGCACAGACCCAGGGAAATGATATGAAAGACAGGAGGGAAGGAAGGAAGGAAGGAAGGAAGGAAGGAAGGAAGGAAGAAAAGAAAGAAAGAGAGGCTTTGCTGAAAAAAAACATTGACCTTTCTGTCAGCCTGGCTCCTCACCAATGGACCAACATGTCAGAGAAGACCTCCCACCCGCTTCAAGTCCCGTCCTCAGAGTCTCTTTGTCATAGCAGCATTGCCCTTGGTGAGCCAGTGTGGCATTTCAATAGAGGCCAGTGTACAGAGACATGGAAACACTGTTGCCTTACGAAGGCTTTGACATCTGATTCAGAAGTGCCCTGGGTTAGGGTTATATTCTGGAGAACAAACATGGCATGTGACTGTGGCAAAGACTATGGCTTGTGAATGTGGCAAAGATTCTTTTGTGTGTGTGTGTGTGGGGGGTGTGGAGAATCTAACATATGGAGCCCTGAGTGGTCAGCCACTACTGCTTCTGGGATTGTATGGTATCTATTGCACAGATACAGACTCCTGTTGGATTCTAGGGGAAGGGGCTGCAAGCAGCCAGGTAAGAAAGATACCACTTCCCTGTAAGGTTCTGTAGCAGACCAGCCGCAAGCAGTCCTTGTGGACAAAAATGGGATGGAGGTTTTCCCTACATTCAGAGACAACATGTATTGAGCCTTGCATTCCCACGGTCTGAAGTAATACAATGTCATGTAAATGACTTTTGAATTGGAACATTTTATCCAGCCAGTGATAAGCAGTAAGACAGGAACCTGGGCTGGAGGTGTAGCTCAGAGGGAGAGCCCTTTTCTGGCATGTTCAAGACCCCAGGCAAGATCCCCAGTGCTGAAGAAACACCACAGCATGGGCAGCAGCAGTGAGTACAGTCACACAGGACCAAGGTGTCACACACAGGCAATGATGTTCTGTGCCATGCTGCTGAGCAATGTCTGAGGGTGGATGTTAAATGCATATCTTCTTGCCACAGCTAGGATGCAGGCCATCCTAAGCAGAGGAGCGTCTACACTTAGGGTTCTTCCAACACAGCTCTTGGATAAATTGGATTTGAGTGTCACAAGGATGTCACACATTGAGTAAATACCTTACAGTAGCCAACAAGGGATGCCACACTATCTGTGATACAGGATTGAACAGGAAGGGAGCTGTGAATGCACCTGAAATTATAACTACTGCAGAAGGAAAGGTAAAGCTGCCAGCTGCCCAAAGTGGGGGTACACATGTGCCATCTCAGCAGCTGGGGAGGCTGGGGGCAGGAGGATGCTGAGGCTAGCTGGGCTGCTTAGTGATCCTTGTCTCAATGAGAGAGAGAGAGAGAGAGAGAGAGAGAGAGAGAGAGAGAGAGAGGGAGGGAGAGAATGAGATTGAGTGAGCAGTTTTCGACACCTAAAGATTTATTTATTTATTTTTTAGTTTTACCATGATGTTTTTCAAGTGTAGCCAAGTAGAAAGAACTGGAGACCAAACAACCTTATCTCTGTCAACTAGCTTTAACAATAGCTTATCTTTTACCATAGTTGTTTAATTTTTACATTGCTTTTTAAAATGTGCTTACTAACTTTTAATTTCATACATGTATACAATGTATTTTGATGCTATTCACCTCCACTCCTTCCCCTAATTTCTCTCAGATCCACCTCCTAACACCCACTCCATCCCAACTTCATCTCTCTCTCTCTCTCTCTCTCTCTCTCTCTCTCTCTCTCTCCCTCCTTCTCTTTTAATAGCCCACCAAGTCCGGTTTGTGTTGCCATATACTCCCAGGACCACACCCTTAAAGAAAACTGACTCTCCCTCCCCCAGAGGCCTGTGGAGCATAGCTTTATTTGTTCTCAAGGACATCTAAAGGGGTATGTTAGTGTCACATGACCAATGTCACTCTTTCTCAGTCATCTTGAGAGTCAGCTGAATATCCTCACCCCTGAAGGAAACAACAGGTAAACAGGTGTCACTCATCCAGGCAAGCTGGATCTGAGTGGGCTCACTGTCTCCAGTTGTCCTCACAGGAGCATGGTTTCTCAGCTACTTCAGTCACTGTCCAAATTAAATGCTATGACAGGGAACTTTGAAATATTTTATAGCTTGGGTTCCAGTCATTCAATTTACAATTGTGGCATCTCCTGAGCCAGTAATAGCTAGTCTCATACAGATGCCAAACAAACACAAGACAAAGAAGTCAAAGTGATAGCTACATCCAGTGTTTGAGGTTCATTCCCAGCTGCTCCAGGGCCGAGTGTTATTTACCAACCCGGACCCATTTTTACTGTAAGTAGGTTGCCTGGCAACATAGCTGACATG